TTATTATTTGTTTTTATTTGTGTGTGTGTGAGAGAGAGAGAGAGCACAAGCAGGGGCGGGGCAGAGGGAGAGGGAGAAGCAGGCTCCTCACTGAGCAGGGAGCCCGATGTGGGACTCGATCCCAGGACCCTGGGATCATGACCTGAGCCAAAGGCAGATGCTTAACCTACTGAGCCACCCAGGTGCCCTTATATTCTTTTCTTAAAAACAATTTAGAATAATTTAATTTTATTACTTCTTTTATTACGTGGCATGTGGCAACATGTTCGAAGGATTTTGAGCTCTTTCATACAGAATGAAATTAGGGAGTTTTTCTCCTTGATAACCAACGAAATAATGGAATTTACACAGCAAATTTTGGCAAAGTTTGTTTAGAATTCCTGATCATTAGCCTTCTCTTCTGAGTGGAGTTCAGGCGCCCTCTTAGCTCCTGGACTAATTCCCTTGCCTCCAGTGTCACTATGTCCAAACTACCTGCTTTCCCCTACTCTGGACACTTTATAAAATCCAAAGAGAATAATACCATATTCCTTTTAAAACTATGTTTAGCACATTATTTCGTACCCTCAAGATAAAAGTCGAGCCCATTTTGTGGGTAGATGAAGCCCTTGGTTACCCAGTGACTTCTACCTCCAGCCTGGCCTCCCCCCTCCCTCCCTCCAGCCTGGCCTCCCCCCGCCCTCCCTCCAGCCTGGCCTCCCCCCTGCTCTCCCTGATACCACCCTGTACTCTGGGCCCTGGTGTTCTGGTCTGTTTGGCTCCGTTCAGCTGGAAGGCCCCTCAGGGACCCCCCTGGTATAATCCTGTTGTGTCTCACCGTGAGTGCCCTGAGTGCTGCCTCTTCAGGAAGCCAATACTGCCCTCTCCCCGCCAGAGCCCTCATCTGAGTCTTCACAGGGGTCAGGAGAGTTTGTCAGCTCTCTGGATGTCTGCGCCTGCCAGCTCCTTGACTGAAGGAACCTGATGTTGTCTTCTTACCACCTTCCACAGCCAGGGTTCAACGGCAGGTGCTGACAAGTGAGTTCCATACTGCCTTCGGGATATCCAAACCTAGGTTCATCTTCCTTCCCCAAATAACCCACCATTATCTGCGTGGAACCCACTCGCCCTGCGCTTCTGCCACTGATATGAACTTCGGTTCCATTCCTCAGTTTCCCCTGCCTGCAGCTCTTGGCTCTCCCCCACCTAAAGTCTACAGGTAGTCATTTCCTCCCATTTTCTCTCATGTGTGCTGATTCTGACAGATCAGGTCCTACATTTGCCAACGTGGGCCCTACTTCCCAGCCCCTTCTCTTACTCGTGTTCACCTTCACAGTTGGAATGACCTTTATTTCTGATTTAATGGCTCTCCTTAAGGCCAATCTCAAAAGCCAACTTTTCATTAAGTCTTTTCTCGATATCAGGAAATAGATGTGATTTCCAACAAACTGCCTTATTTTATATTACAAAACTCTGTGAGATAGGTGAATACTTCACAGTTAAGGGGTCTGAAGCTTAGAGAGATCTAGAGGCTTTGCAAATGAACCAACAGTATAAATCCTTGGGTTCAGGAAGCCTAGTGAATGCAAAGGTGTGCTAGTAAATACTTAACAACTGGCCCTCTGTTAAAAAAAAGCCCTAATTTGTAACATTTGCTCATCTCCATAGAGTTTCCCATTGTGGGGGATTTCTAGCTGCAGATGTGGTATCCTGGGAGTTTCTGGCTCACAAGAGTAGTTTCTACATCATGCCCTAGGTTGAGAGTTGGCTGACTTGAACCTGTCATCTTCTTCCTTCGGCACTTTGATATCATTAAAAAAAACAAACCTGACTCCAGAATCTTTAAAATGACCACTGTGCTCATCTCCGATGCTAGAGAGATGGCCCAAGCCGGGGTCCCCCTTCCGTGCATCCTCCCCCACTTAGTCCTACCAGCAAGCTGCTGCACCGGGTGCTGGGATTGTGGCCACCCCACGTACAGGCGCAGTGGCCCCTTGCTGCCATCTGGCTGGTGGGCGATCCAGTTCCAGAGCCCCATCCCTGGGGAATGAGTCTGGACTAACTGTCTTGGTTCGACTGCCCCAGAAGCACACCACGAGATAAGGATTTGAGTGTGAACAGTGCATTCGAGGGGGAGGCCCGGGAAACATGGGAGGGGAGTGAGGGCAATGGGACAGGGCAGGTAGGAAACCAGTAAAGGCTGCGCTATCCAGTAGATTTCCAGGTAACGGGAGCTCAGACCTGAACCATGCGGGCTAGCAGAGAACCTCGTCCCGCTGGGTAACGAGCTGAGGGTCCTCATGCACTCGTGGCCTGAGGTGCCCTCAGGAGAGAGTGTTTCCCTGGCGCTTCAGGCCTTCCCCAAACGCAGACAGAGCAGGCTCCGGTGGCCAGAAAAGCCAGCAGGCAAATCATCTCAGGTGCTGGCAGTTGGAGGTGGGCCCATGGTGCAGGAAAAAGTCCATTTCAAAGGCATAGGTGATGTGTAGAGTGGATAAACGATGATACAGATAGACAGTGGAAAGTCACAAAATCCTCACCAGTAAAATTAAAAGTAATATAATTTTAAGAAATAGAAGCTGGATGATAAATTTTCATTCTTTGGAAGGCACCGTTCATGGTTGATGAGTGAAGATGTGGGAGTATAGCATTCAGAGTTATAAGAAGAAGAAGCAGAAGAACGAAAACAAACTTAATGGTGGGAGGGTCTAGAGTGTGGGACTGGGTGAGGGGTAGGTGAGCAGGAAAGGTGTGGACACCGTTATTTTCTTTTAATATTTTCCCATTTTGTTTGGATTTTTTTGATAGATTCCTCAAAAATATTTTATAAATACTTAATGATAATGATAAATTGAGTGTTAGGACAATAGATTTTAAAAAAAATTTTATTTTAATTCCAGTTGGTTAACATACAGTGTTGTATTAGTTTCAGGTGTATGATATAGTGACTCAACGCTTCCATACATCGCCCGGTGCTCATCACAAGTGCATTTTGTTCGGATTTTTAACCATCAGTATGCACCACTTCCGCAACAAGCAGAACAAATGCAAACAAACCCTAATGTAATTACAAAAACTCATATTTGGAGTACCCCTCAACAGAATACTACACAGGAGTTAAAGAAGGAGGTAGAATCTGTGTGTACAAATATCAAAAGGTGGTCAGGATTTGTTAAGTGAAATTAGTAAATTAAAAAGTAAGCCTAGGATGCAAATTATGCAAGGGGAGAAGTATGTGTGTATGGAACATATTTCTTTCTTTTTTTTTTAAAGGATTTTATTTATTTATTTGAGAGAAAGAATGAGAGACAGAGAGCATGAGAGGGAGGAGGGTGAGAGGGAGAAGCAGACTCCCCACCGAGCAGGGAGCCCAATGTGGGACTCGATCCCGGGACTCCAGGATCATGACCTGAGCCGAAAGCAGTCGCCCAACCAACTGAGCTACCCAGGCGCCCTGGAACATATTTCTATATAAGGTTGTCTGGAAAGACATATACCAATTTTAACAGATGCTGCTAGTGGGGAGAAGAGCGGCGGGCGAGGTGGAAAATCTCCACTTCTGCTTTCTTCCTTCACACAATGATCGGCAGACCCCTCTCCCCTCCCCCCCACTGGCATTACAATCACCTGGGGTTTTAAAAAGATTCCTAGGACCTACCGCAGACCCAGGGAGGGTGCCTAGGGTAGGGTTTCCAGAATCTGCACTTTTTCTTAATTAGCTTCCTCATAGTTTGGGGTTCCCTCACTTTCCCAGCATGTTATTGAAAAACTATTGAAACATGCAGTGTAAAGAAGAGTACAATAGCATGCTGAACATCCATATGTAATCTGCATTGTACTCCAGTGTAAACATGCACGCTCTGTGTGCACGTGCACATACTCACACACACACCCATGTATTGTTAACCTCAAAAATAGAAGTCACTTTTGTTTTGGTTTTGTTTTTTACCAGCAAAAATGGGCTTATTTGGGAATAACAGAGAACTGCAATTTAGGACATGCAAGCTATGGCAAAACCATGGGCAAGTCCCCCAAAGGAGAGGAACATTATTTTATGGAGGAGGAAATTGGAAGGGGTTGTTTTGAACCAAAGTCCTTTGGAGAAAAGCAAGAGGTCAGGGTGGGGATGATTTCTCATTGGCTGAATTGCAGCTGTGGTGGATTTTTTTGTAGGAGATGCAGTGTACAGTTTTTCTTGTTGGGGCCTGTAATTGATGATTCTGTCCTGTGGACCTCTATTCTCCTGGGATCTGTAACTGACTGAACTGTTCCTGTAACTGACATTGAGTAGGAAAGCTCCCTCTACCCGCTTCAGGCGTATCCAGTACATGCTCCCGCGGCTCTCTGTGAGCGCGTGCACACACGCACGCACGCACGCATGTACGTACGGGCTCTATCGGTGAGCGTGTGCGCACACATGCATGCGTGTACAGGCTGTCTCTCGGTGAGCGCGTGCACACACACGCATGTTTGCACATGCTCTCTCTTGATGAGCACATTTACATATATACGCGTGCACGCCTGTGTGTGCAGGCTCTAGCGCGGTGCACACACACACATTCCCGCGTGTATGTGCACACATTTCGGCAGCACGGCGGAAACGAGGCAGACATCAGGACTTTCCCAGCGGCAGCGTGCCTGCACGGGTAGCAGGCACCGGCCTCGGACACAGATCCTCCGCCTGCCCCGTCCCGCCCCGTCCCGCCCGGGGCTAGCTGAGCAGGACAGGGCGTCCCTTTCTACCTGTGCGAACACGTCTAACGTTCACAGCACACAATTTATTTATGCGTGCGATGTAATACAATTTTAATGACGAGGCACCGCAGCGCTGCGTGGCCACTCTCACCGCCGCCCTCGAAACTCGCAGTCGGCAGAGGCCAGCCACAGACACACGGCCCCGCCCCAGCCGCAGGCCACGCCCTCCACGGGCACAGGGGCCTCGCCCCTCCGCGTTTCCCTTCGGCCCCGCCCCCGACGCGAGGGCGGGCTTCGCGCCGGGGCGGGGGGCGTGGTCTCGGCCGCGTCGCCGCGCGGCGTGCGGAATCTGCGGCGGCCGTTGGCCGTTGGCGCGGCTTGGGCGGTTGTCTTGGAGAAGCAAGATGGCGGCGACGGCGGCCGCGGTGGTGCCGGAGGAGGACACGGAGCTGCGAGACCTGCTGGTGCAGACTCTGGAGAACAGCGGGGTCCTGAACCGCATCAAGGTGGAGCGGGCCGGGCCGCGGGGACGCCGGCTGCGCCCGCGGGCCGCAGGGCCTGTGCGGACGGCGGGCGTCACAAAGGGTCGCGCGGGGCCGCCTCTGGGCCGCGGGCGGGGGCGGCTCCCTGCGGGGCCGGGCCGGGCCTCGGGGGGCGGGCCGCGCGGAGGCCGAGGGTGCGCTGCGGCCGTGCGGGACGGGAGGTCGGCGCGCGCCGCCGCTGCCGGGCCGTGGCTGGCGTGGCGTCGCGGGCGCGAAAGCGGGGCTGAGCCGCGGGGGTGGGCGCTGGGACCGGGCCGGGGGCGGGGAGCGGGGGGCTCTCTGCGGGAGGGCGTCTCGCGGGGCGTGCTGACCGCTCTGCGCCTGCCCACTGGGCGTTGCGGTCTCGTTAGTTTTCGCTTTTTGGCTTTTGGATGGTGGGGATGGTGCCTGTGGAACTTACGTCGTACGCGCTTGTTGTCATGAAAATGGCCTTGAAACAATTTTTGTCCCTTTACCCCTTTTTTTAAAAAAAGGCTGAACTCCGAGCAGCTGTGTTTTTAGCCCTAGAAGAGCAAGAAAAAGTAGAGGTATGAAATCGACAAATTTTAACATTACCGTATTCGTTTATTTTAATTTCTAATTACTTAGACGTTATTCTAAAATACTACATACGTTAGGGTGTAGCCAAGGATGATTTTGAACTACTAAGGATTACATTTTTTTTTTTTTTTTAACTATTGGAAGAGAGGCAACCTTACTCTCTTTTTGTCTGTATTTAGAATTTTGGAGTAGTCTATAAAGAAAGTCAAGGTACAGTAGTAACCCTGGGGCCAGTAATAAATCTTTGGTGGTGCAGATGCCTTTCCATAAGGGAAATCTGAAAAACAAGGTCAGAGGAGCTCCGGGAAGAAAGGGTTCCATTGTCAATGAGTTTGCTGCAGGCTCCTGCAGAACCTTTAATATGTCAGTATATATTGTGAATGCCCACAGGTGGGGAGAATATAGTACCTAACTTTTCTCAACTATCTGACCACCCCGTTATTTTAAAATCATGTGCTCTTTGTCACTGTCAAAAGTCCAACCACTTCTTGATATAAGTGCATTTAGTTTTTTTTTTTCTCTACCTCAAGTCTTCCCACCACTCCGAATAAATATCCTGGAACTTGTCAGCAAGAATTACTCCATAATCAGGGTCTTCACCTTGCTCCTGTGACAAATCTGTCTAATCTCCTCACTTCTTTTGACTTAGGTGTCTGCACCTCTTTTACTTCCTGAAGTGCTTCAATTCTTGGCTCTTCTGTGTTTGTCCAGGTGTCAGTCTTCTCTCGGCTGCCCTCTGTTCTTCACTTGTCTGGACCCTATGGTCCATGTTTAAGAAACCCCAGCTTCCTTGCCTTCCAGGCATACTTGCTCTAGGAAAAACTGCGAACGTCATTTAATTGAGCAGACTAACTCCCCTGCCTGCTCTTGCCGTGGTCCTCGCTAGAGCATCACCCAGCACTAGATTGCTGCCGTGACTAGCTGGCGGGTACATGCCTCAGCCAGGGTCTGAGCAGGCCGTGAGTCCTCTTCCCGCACAACTCTCACTTCGCTGGGCTCTAGCCTTCTACCTCTCCTGTCTGCTGACTCGCGGCAGCTGGCCTGTAGGGGCATCGGGTCCTGACCTGCTGTGTCTTCGCCTGCAGATCTGTCACTCAGCTCAGAAAAAGCTGCCCTGCATCTGTATGTGTCTGTACCTCTTCCTTCCTGCTTTGGTGGAGGATTCTCTGTCTTGTCCAAGAATAGTCACTTTCTCTGGGTTTTGCCTTCCAGGTACTCTCAGCTCCTCAACCATTTGCTGTGTCTTTGGCCTCTCCCTTGCTGTTGGTTCTTCTCTTGAGCATAGAAACATGTTTGTATCTCTCTCAAGGAGAAAACTGTTTTCCTTAACTCCTGTTCTTTTAATACCACTCAATTTTTTCCCCTCACAGTTGAATTTTGAAAGAATGTTTATGTCTTATTTCATATGTTCCAGGCACCCTTTAATACATTAACGTCTTAAATCCACTTAAATTCGCCTTAAATCTACTACATCTAAGGACTTCCCTTTGCTGGGGTCAGGAAGAATCTCCTTATTGAGTATATTTTAGTTCTCACCTGTATTAGTTCTTAACTTAGGTGTTCTTTGTGGCATTTGACATTCTTAATTCCTCCCTTCATTCCTTCCTGAAAATCTCCCTTGATTTTTGGGACTTTTTTCTGTTCTCCTTTTTCCTTTTGAGCACTCCTTGGTTTCTTTAGCGTTAACCTTTTCCTCTACACCTGACTTAAATCCTTGGTGTATTTTCCAGTAGCTCTCATTCTGTGCTCTCTCCCTGGATGACCTTAAGCCCTGTATCCTTGATCCATATCGTGAGCTTCAGACCCATATGTGACCCTGCCTGCTGGACTGATCTTGCTTATGGGGACTGCTTTTTATCCAAGCAAGAGATCGGAGTGTTGCCTGGACCTTGCTCCTCCTCTCTGCATCCAGTCGGTTGCCTGGTTCTGTCTGGCCGCTCTGTAGCTGAGCTGTCTCTAAGGAGGTTCTCTGCTGCCCTCTTACTCTACGCTGAGCTATGTCTTTTGCAGGTTTTGCTTTACCCCTTTCTTCTCTCCAGTCTCCCCTTTGCTTGTGTCCCTCACCATCTTCCCGAAGTCCTTTTTCTGCAGTGCTCCTAGTTTGGCTGTTTATAATACACATCTGCTCTTGTTCCTCCATTTTCTTTAAATATTTCAGTTGACTCCGTGTCTTAAAATTTCCTAGACCAACCTACAGGACCTTTGTGATCTTTCTCTTCCTTGTCTTTTTCGGATTTTTTAAAAACAACTTTATTGAGGTGCAATTGACCTGCAGTAAACTCGATTGTACTTAAATGTACGGTGTGTTACATTTCAACACATTTATGCAACCTTGAAACAGTCGATAATGCACATATCCTTGACCCTTGAAGGCTTCTTCAAGCCCCTTTGTACCACCCTCCCCCACCACACACCCCAGGGCCACCCATGTGACCTGTATTTAAGAGCCATACATGTGGGATCCTGCCACACAGACGCTCTTTTCTTCTTTGATCTGGCTGCATTCATTCAGCATAATGCATTTGAGATTTGTTCATATTGTCCTTTGTATTAATAGTTCATTCTGCCTTTCCCTGTGTAGTGTCTCTTGTATGGATATGTGACAGTTTGTTTAGTCATTCATCTGTTGATGAGCATTTGTCTTGTTTCCAGTTTTCTAGTATAAATAGGGCTTCTGTGAACATTCAAGTACATGTCTTTGCTTGGATCTCTGCTTTTATTTTGAGAAAATGCCTACAGATGGGTCATATGGTAGGGGGACTAACTTTTTAAAACTTTACAAACTACCTTCCAAAGTGATTGCACCATCTATTATCCCATCAGCAGAATATGAGACTGTCGTTACACCTATAATTCATTCAGTCTGCTTAAAGAAGCTTGAGTGAGCTAGAAGTGTTTTTTCTGTATTTATTCAAATAAACGTCTAATGGCAAAAATAAGTTGGCGTATGCACTACACAAAATCATGTCACATACTGCTGATGAGCTGCAAATAACAAGTGTGTAATTTGAGTCCTTGCTCACAGTAAGCATGCTATAAATGGTAGATATCTATGATGACAAAATGTCAACATGTATTTAGAATAATAAACAGTTGTTTTTGTAAGTAAATGTATTGCCATTTCACATGAGTATCTGAAGATTTAGCTTCTAAAGTAGTTTAATAAACAATTTATGGCATATTTAAAAATTAAAAATAAATACAAGTTTTCATGTGCGGTTTCATTTTATTAGCTTTGAGATATTAAATAGCATGAAAGAATTCCTGTAGTAATCAATAGTCGTGGAGTGGGTTTAACCATAATTTTATGAGTGACCATATTTTACTTCCATCTCTGCCAAAAAAACTTTAAACCACATTTTGTAGTTGTTTTTAGGATAAATGCATGACATAATATTTCATTTTTTAACAGAACAAAACTCCTCTAGTCAATGAGAGCCTGAGAAAGTTTTTAAATACGAAAGATGGTAAGATGTTCAGTTTGTTCTTGTTTATTTTGTCTGTCTCTGAATTTTCAAATGTTGACTCTAGGAGAGATGAGGAGTTTCAGATTTTTTTTTTTTAAGATTTTATTTATTAGAGAGAGCACATGAGGAGGGGTGGCGGGGGGGACAGAGGGAGAGAGAGAAGCAGACTCCCCTCCCTGAGCAGGGAGCCTGACCCGGGGCTCAATCCCGGGACCCTGAGATCGTGACCTGGAGCCAAAGGCAGACACTTAACCAACTGAGCCACCCAGGCGCCTCAAGGAGTGTCAGACATTTTTTGAAGTCTGTGATTCTTCTAGGTTCTCATTTTAAAGTCGTATTTTAGTGTACAACTGTTAAGCTATTTTGAATATTCTTGGTCATGGGAAATTGTTGGTTAAAACCAATTTTACATAAGCAGAATATTCTAATCCATTTATGAAATGTCATGTTGTTTTATTAATAGTTTCGAACTGATGATCCTAATGAAAACACGAGACTGAGATTTTCATTACCGGTGTTCTTCAAAGATAAATTTATAATTTAAATTTAGAAACCTCTTTTCTTCAGTTAATTAATCTTACTCCGTGGTGTTAGTGAAGGGGGCTTCAGGGCTCTCACAGGTGTGCTCACTGCCTCTCACGTTTCGCAGGCCGGCTGGTGGCTAGTCTTGTTGCAGAGTTTCTCCAGTTTTTCAATCTTGACTTCACCTTGGCCGTTTTTCAGCCTGAAACCAGCACAGTAAGAGTCGTGAATTTTTTACATCTATCCTTTGAAACCATCCTTGGTACAAATGAGTTCATTATAACCTGAAACTTAACAACATTTGACGCTTTATAGGGTCTTGCATATAGATTATTTTTTGTAGTTGATTATCTTTTTCTTAAAAGCCATCTGAGCTGTAGATAGCTGGTACCCATGCTGCTTTGTAGAACTTTGAAAGGAGTGTTTTGTAGAATTAATTGTTCTGATGTCAGATACATCCATTTTTGGATGTAGAGACATGGTTAAAAGAAGTATATAATTTTTTTAAACGGGCATTTTATTCATTAGAAAAATGATCTGTCTGTGTTTAGAGATATCATTAAGTCCCAAAAATATTTTTCTTTAATCTCTGCAAATAATCTGCATACTTCTGTGCATTTATGCCCGACTTGTTATATCTTACCTCTTCTCTAGTTTCAAGGTCTTGAAGGTCGAGAGAATTTAGCCCGAGATCTAGGTATTATTGAAGCAGAAGGTACTGTGGGTGGACCTTTATTATTAGAAGTGATCAGACGTTGTCAACAGAAAGAAAAAGGGCCAACCAATGGGGAGGTAAGTATAATTCTAGCCTCTGTTACCTTTTTCCATTTTAATTATTGGCTACTCAGTGTAGCCACGCAGAGTTTTGTATACATAGTGAATCAGAGTTTAAATGGAAAGAAGCTATTCCTTAAAAACAAAACAAAACACAGTCAGATCATATAAACGCACATTTTGATGAAAATTGGACATGTGGCAGCTGAGTCTGGTGCCGCGCTTGTTCTGCAGATGGGCACCCGGGCGTCAGGGTCAGGGGTCCGGCTGTGTGGAACCGGCCGCCGCTCCTCCACTGACTGGCCGGCTTCGGACCTGCAGGGCCCTCCCCGGCTCCCCCTGTGCAGCATGGGGAGAGCAGGCCGCCTCGTGGCCATTGTGAGGCCTGAGGCACGGGTTGGTGCTTGTCAAGTGCAGAGAACACTCGTTAGTCGTAGTCTTGTTACCATTTTAAACAGAAGAGGGTTGAATTAGAGGCTACTTAATAATTTTTTGAACTTAAGGCTTTTTAAAAGCTGTTAAGCTGTTGATTGTGCTTAGTTTCTAAACATTTTCAAACTTCTGTTTTCTTGATTAGCTACTGCTTTTCTTACTCCTTTTTAGAGATCTGCTAATGAGATTAAGTCTGATTCCTAGTTACTAGTTACAAATGTTAGTTTTACATAGAGATACCGTTTCACAGACATGGACCGTGTGGTAGCTGTCTCAGACACCCGGTTAAACGTGTGCTTTTAGTCACTGGTTTATAAGTAAGAATGTGGAGGGGGGTCTCAGAGCACGTTTTCTGTTAGCATCTTTGAACATCAGGAGAGCCTGCCTGAGCACTCTTGCATATAGGGCATAACAGATGGGTGCTTTGAATGAAAAGATAGACAGTTTCATGGACTAGAAGAGGTGAGAGTTATTAAAGATCAAATGTGTTCCCATAAGGAAATGGACGTGTGAGTGATGGCTTATGATAATGCAGTGTATAGTAAATGGTTAGTACCACACATTTTAGGAGTCAAATCAGTTTTAGTTAAAGGGTTTTTCAAGTGGAAATTTTCAAGTGGAAATTTTGTTAAACTCAGTCTTAATGTGAGAGTAGAGGAGAAGACTGGGAAGCTGTTCTAAGGCGGCTATGGGGAGCTGGGGCCAGGAGCGGGGTGCCGCGGCTGGGAGCTGGGGCGGGGCGCTGGAGTGGGAAGCAGGGGTGGGGTGTGCTGCAGCAGGGGTGGGGCGCTGGGGTGAGAAGGGGGCACTGCAGCGGAAAGTGGGGCATGGCGGGGGCGCTGCAGCAGCTCTTGGGTTCAGCTCTCTGAGGTGCTGGTGGCCCCTCTTCTCTGGTATGCTCTCCCTTAGCTCACGAGCATGAGCGTGGGCTCTGAGCTAGGATGCTTGGGGTCATGTCGCAGCTCTGCCATGTCCTGTGTGTGACTCTCTGAAGACACTTAACCTCCACGTGCTTTAGGTTCCTCACTCATGAAATGGGGGTGATGGAAGTAACAGCCTTGCTGGTGGTGGTGAGAACTGAGGGGAGTCAGGGTAGCTTCGGCAACAGTGCTTCGCAAGTAGGGATCTGCGAGCATCTGCCTTCATCATCATCGTTTGTCGTTTTGTTCTCGTTACTGTTTGATGACTCCCTCCGTCCAGCTCAGTCCTTTCCCCAGCGTGAAACCAGAATCTCCAGCTCTTCCCCACACATACCCCTTGTTTAACTCGCGAATACATTTGAATCCTGTAAACAGACTTCACTCGAACAAAGCGAAAGTCGCAAAAGGTGAAAAATAGGTGTCCTCGCAGATAACCACCCAGTTCCAGGTCTTGCTCCAGATTTCTCTGTTTGTGTTGATTGTGCTTCTGGGACTCCTTGGTGTCAATGCAAGGAGCTGCCTTTCTGTGCCCTCGGTTCGGTCCTTCTGTCAGGACGGAGTCTCTCTCCCGCCTGTACCAGCAGCACGCCGTGGAAGGAAGAAAGCTTAATTACTGGAAAACTCTGTTTGCTGCTAAACAGGGCGTCTGCCTCAAACTGAGACCCAGTCAGAGATTTCTTGTCTAGTTGGGTTGATTTGAAAATGAAAACTCAATAAATATATTCTTTATATGTCTTTCTGCCTGGTGGATCTGAAGCCTCCCCAGTCAGTTTACCCTGTTTCAGAGCTGGGTTTCTGTCAAACGAACACAGGAGAAGATTTTTGTAGCTTCAAGAGGTCATCGTTTTACTTCTTTAAAGTTTGAAACCATTAGGAAATACCCACTCTTTGCTACTTTTCCCCTCTTAATATTGGGATATGTCATTTTAATGGGTTGTGTGTCTATGTATACACACATGAATCAGTGGTCAAATTCATACTTAAAATAGGGAACTCACAGGTGTCCAATTTGGCTTTTCCATCTTCACTAGTGTTTATAACTTTGAGAAGAAACCTGTCCTTAGGTTTTATTAACCTTTGACTTCTGATGCTGGAGAAGAAAATTAGCTGCGGATTCAGCCCATTGAACTCAGTGATGCTTTTACCAAAAGTGCATTTTCAAACCACCTTAAGAATCAGGTTCCTGTGCCCCACGTCCTTTACCATGACTTTGAGTTGATTTTGCAGGGTGTTGGATGTTCCCTCGCGTGGAGCATCACAGCACTTGGTTGTTTGCTGCGCTGCCCCAGGTGAGCCCCCTCCTGCCCCGTGAGCACCTTGCCGTCCCTCCGGTCCTGCTCCCCAGCACTCCTGCGGGCACTGTCCACAGTCAGTCTGCATCCTTCATGCTTGTTGACTTCATTTTAAGGTTCAGCCCTTTATCTATTCCTTTCCGCTTTAAAAATTGAAATCACTGTGTAATGGCAACTAGATAGTTTGCAGATTCCTCAGCCTTGATGTTAAGATCCTGTGTGATGCAGTGCCTACTCATCTTTCTAGCCTTTTCCTTTTTTTTTGAAATGTGGAACCTTGTGCTTCAGCCAGACTTCTTATACTTGAAAGTGGCTTTTGCTTTCTTGCCTTTTCCTCATCTGCTCTCCACCTGAAACAGTGCATCATCCCCATACCCAGCTGTGGAATGTTGTCATTCATGGTCTCTCTTCCACTCTGCCTTCTGGGATGTTTCTTCTTGTTTTTCCCCTCTTTCTGCTGGCAGCTGTTGTAACTGAGTGCCTGGCTCTGCGTGGGTGTGGCAGCCCCCTGTGGTTGCCCATCCTTCCCCACGTCTTCCGTTGGCTGGGGACAAGGGCTTGGGCTCACCTTTGTATCCTTTGCAGGGTCCAACCCAACAGGGATTCTTCTTCTTCCTTTTTTTTTAAAGATTTATTTATTTTAGAGAAAGCGCACATGGTGGGGAGGGGCAGAGGGAGAAAGAATCTGAAGCAGATCTCGGCTGAGTGCAGAGCCCCGAGAAGGGGCTAGATCCCATGACCCTGAGATCATGACCTGAGCCGAAACCAGGAGTTAGACGCTCAGCCACTGAGCCACCCAAGTGCCCCCCAATGGGGATTCTTCACAGATAATGTGTTCAAGGTCAGTGGGAAGCTTTTGCAGACTTTTGTACAGAGGAAGTACTTGTTTGGAAGATGAATTTATGAAGGTTAGATGGTGAAATTGGGAGAAGTTCAAAGACTGGGAGAAGTGAAATCCACTAGAAGGCAAATTTAGACAGGAATGATTGTGGCAGTAAATGCAGAAGCAAATGGGCAGATAAAGATTCCCCTTTAAAGGAAGAAGCAATAAGACTTGGTAAATTAACATTCCGGCAGAGGGTTAGGGTCTCAGAGGGTAATATGGGAAGAAGAAAAATTGGCAAAGGTGAAATGAGGTTTTCAGCCTGGGAGAAGATGGTGCCATACCAGAAGTCGCGCTGCTCGAGGGAGGAGCAGAAGGTATGACGAGCAGCACATTGTCATATTTAAAGAGCTGTAGTCATCAGTAGGATTTTTAATAGCAAAATAACCAATATTTAATATGCACACAGTGCACAGAGCTGCTAATGATGTAGTGGATGAATTTTAGGTCATTTCCATTCCATTCCATTCACTATGCATTTAGCGTAGCTCTGAGAAGTGACCAGCGGGTGCCCTGAACGTGGTGGTTTCGTGATGCTGCACTGCCCTGCGGTGGCCGTGCGGTGCTGTTCGGTCCCGTGCGGCACGGTCCGGTGCGATGCCGTGCAGTTTGGTGGCGTGGCCAGACAAGCCCCTGTGCTCTAAGAGATGAGAGAGTGGCATGAGCGTGCAGAGGAGGAAGGGGAGCGTGGTCCTTTGAAGAGGGGGACGTGTCTTTGGAGAGCCGCTGTTTGATGTTCTGGAGACAGCGAAGGAGGCAGCGAGTCTGGAGAGGGTGAAAGAGTAGATGTGTGCGAATCACAGGACAGGGCTGGTGCAGACCGCCGGGTGCTGAGCGAGGGCTTTGTCTGGGGTGCCTTGAACCCGCGACTGAGCGGCCTGTTCAAGGTGACTGGGTCAAATACTTAGGTAATTAGAATCTAAGTGTGTTTTGTTTTGTTTTTGTTTGAGTAAAATTGGGGAAAATCTAATAAGAATATTTACATAATTTAGAAAGAGTTAAAAACATCAGTATTGTGTAGTGGTTATAAATGCTAAAATGCTTTTGAGGCTTAATAGTATATTTATGTTTTATTTTAAACTATGTTTTAATCTCGAACTGTGAAATATTCTAGGGTGCACTAGATCTGTCTGATGTACATTCTCCACCAAAGTCCCCAGAAGGCAAAACAAGTGCTCACAGCAGTCCCAGTAAGGTGAGTAGGCCACGGGTACGAGGGCTTCTGCACTCAGACTCCATGGGGCTCTGCTTTTCTCACCCTCGTCCTCTGTGTTCCAGGTTGTGTTTTGTAAAGAAAGTGCTGTGTAGTTTCTTGAAATTGCTTTTCTCCCTTAATGAAGCATATATTTATAACAATTATTTCAGTTTGTTGGTAGTGTTTTGAATTTTGTGTCGTAGAAAGGAATGCACTGCTGAATCACAGAATTGTGAGAAATTTGGACTCATTTGGCACTTTGAAAATTTTCTTCCTCAGTTGACAAGAGGATTCACTTTTCATTTATAAATCCCTAGCTTGAGGATACTAGGTTCCAGACTGTTGTTCCAGAACACTGTGGTGTTGAATATTGTAGATGGATGACCAGTTTAGAATTGTAAATTATCGTGTTTTTTTTTATATTAATGAGCTATTTTGAGGATTTTTAAGAAAATACATGTGCCCTGTGCCCTGGGTGTGTGTGTGTGTGTGTGTGTGTGGTTTATGGGTTGTTAAAGTTAAGGCACATTGATTGCCGGGATCTGGCATACTGGAGAAAAATGCTGAGTGGAGCACTGGAATTTCAAGTCCAGGATCACAGGAACGGGCAGAACACGATTGTTAAGGGGTATGTTGTCTTGGGACTGGTTGTAGCGTCCTATGTGTTGGTAGAACCAACCAGTTGTACCCAAGGACGGGTTTGGGTCAGTTTGTGCCGTGACGGTCGCTGTGACTTCCATTTTGCAGGATGAGGGTGATGCCCTGGAGCATGATGGTGTTGCAGTGACTTGTGGGCACAGTGGTACCTCTTCAATGAGGTGGCTTCTAGAGGGTTTCTCTCTCTTTCAGATGCCTGGGCTCAGACACCAATGAGTGGTTCCTGTTGTTTTGCTGCTGGGTCTTTATGGTGTTGCTCCTTTTCATTTTTTTCAATTTGGAAATCAAAGGATTTTATGTTTTATTTGCAGCGGAGGGAGGAGACCATCATGCTGTTTGTAGGTGTCTCTTCTCTCTGAGATCTAGTTAGCCTTCACTGTGGGGAGGGGTTTCCCCTGATGCTCATGGGAGGCTGTCACCATGGTTACAGAGAGAGCAAGGTTGTGAGTAAATGTAGAAAAGTCCCTTCAAATGAATTGTCAGATATAGGAGCCTTGGTAGAAAAGCTTTGTTTTCTGTGAACGTGTCTGGCTGTGAAGGGGTTAAAATTAATGCATATTCCACAATATCAGTACCTATAGAATTGAGCTGTTTGGAAGTTCTCTTTTTAGCCAATTATTATTTTGTAAAGCAAATTAGCAACACGAACCTTCTACATGTGGTGTATCTTCATGATAACAGATTAAAGTCTTTGACATATTTTCTCTACACAAATTTTATTTTCAAGATCTAAGAATTATGATGAGAATCTTTTAAGTCAGTTAGGAAATGTTGCCTTAAATATAGAGAAGTGCCAGTAGTTACCAAGGTGGGTTTGGAGAGCAGTAAGCTGTCCTCCAGCTGTCCCCTCGCGCTTGCTGCCTCCTGTCGGCTCCCCGTGCGGCGGGGAGGCCTGTGGGGCAGTGGCCGTGTCCGCAGGGCTGTGGCTGACTCGTGTCGAGAGGAGGCCTTCTGATGGCAGGTGAGCTGCAGTTCCCTGTAGTTCTGAGGATGTGGATTTGGGATTTCAGCACTTTCCCCACCTTTTTCTTGCCAGCTCTCCTCTCACTCAGGGGTCTTTGAATCATCTTGGGCTCTCGGGGTACCTCATCAGGCTGCACGCCACGGAGAGCACTTGGGGCTCTGGGGCTGTGGGATGTTGTGGCCAAGCCGAGGGTCCTGCCTGACCCGCAGGGACCCGGTTTGTGTGCTCCCGAGCAAGGCGAGGCCGGGGCCGCTCTTCAGGGAGGCTGCTCTGGAGGCCGGGCCTGGCTTTGCTGCGGAGCGCCGACCGAGGTGTGGTTCTGCACAAGGCTGCCGCGGGGCAGGGGGGGGGGCGGCGTGGGCCCCAGGCACTGTGAGGCACGGTATTTACGCGCAGGGTGAACCACTGCAGGAGAAGAGAATTAAGGAACGAGAAAAAAAATGTGGGTTTCAGAAAGGAACATAGATTAGGTTTTCCATTCTTAAGAGCTTTTCTTTCTTTTTTTTTCTTTTTAAAGATTTTATTTATTTATTTGACAGAGAGAGAGAATAAGCTGGGGGAGCGGCAGGCAGAGGGAGAAGCAGGCTCCCCGTTGAGCAGGGAGCCCGATGTGGGACTCGATCCCAGGACCCTGAGATCAGGACCTGAGCTGAAGGCAGAGGCTTCACTGACTGAGCCACCCAGGCGCCCCCTTGAGAGCTTTTCTAATAGGAAACTTTATTAGTTTGGTTATGGATTAGTTTCTTTGTAAAGATTTATACGTTTTGGTAAAATGTCATTTCATTCTCATGCTCAGATACCGAGGTATAAAGGACAAGGTAAGAAGAAGACAAGCGGGCGGAAGCCTGGCGCCAAGGTAACACGCGTGAGGGCGGGGGGCGGCCTCTGCGGCAGGCCACCGGCTCTGCGGCTCCTAGTGGCGCGGGGTCCCTGTCGGCCCGGGGCTCCGTCTTCTGTGCCGGTGTCGCTGTCCTCCAGCTGTAATCAGAATATGATCAAGTCATGGGGCGGAAAACAAAAAGTAATTTGACTTTCCGATTTTTATCCAGGTGAAAATCATACTGTTGGATTTTAAAAATGTGCTGTCAGTTTTACTTTTGAGAATTCCTTGTTTTGTTGGCAATAAAGTTGAAAATATTTTCCTTTTGAATGGATGGTCATATACATATTAACGTTATGATTTTTATCTGAGGTAAATAGAGTATCAAACTACTTTTTGGGTAAGTGTCAATTGATAAATTAAAGGCTAAACTTAGTTTCTTTCAAGACATTTTTTTGTGTTGAGCGTTCAGCGGTGTCGCAGACCATCGCACACGGGTTAGCCCTCCCCGGAAGCCCTGGCTCACAGGAGACCCGTGGGGACACGCAGGCCCCGGGCGGACTGAATCTGCAGCGATGGGGCCTTGGCTGCTTTTTTTTCCCTCCCCAAATCATGACAGAAATCGACTAAGCCAGTAGATTAGCTGGTTTTAAAATGTAAATATTACAGGTCTTAGAAGCACCACTCGTCATATATGTCTCACATTTGTTCAGAATAAGATACTTAAGATATTTAATTTTTAGTGCTGTAAGAATCTCCAGTTCTTGTTGAACCTTAGGTTATGTATAGATTATTGAAGATCTTCAAAATTAAAGGGTTTTTAAAAATTGTATCTGCTGTCTTAGCTGGCTTTAGTCGTAGTGGTTTCACTGGTAGATTCCCATTATTCTATTTGTTACATTATTTTTATGTGTTACTACACGAGAAGACAATTTAGAGCATTAATTAGCAAGTATGTGTGACCAGTTACCTGGTGGGAGTTGCTGTGTGAAGGGCTGCGGTCACAGATTCATTGTGGGCCCCACTGCGGCAGGTGACAGCCTAATTGGAGAGGTGAGACCCACCTTAAGAAAGATGACTAAGAAAATAAAACATATTTTTAAAGATACTTTTAATCAATTTCTTGGACTTTTTAAGAAAGTTAAAAGCATATTTCATAGTATTAAGTTTTTATCATTTATTGGTTAAAACATTTTGAAGTCTATACATTGTCTAAATCAAAGCACATTAAAAGACTAATTTTCACGTTTCACTTCTCACCACGCAGCCGTGGTGCCTCAGCAGACCGCCAGCTCTGCAGCGGGCAGGCCTCGTGGGCTCCCCTGACCTTGGGGGTGACTGAGGAATCCGGGAGGGCCCCTGCCCTGCAATTGTGGGCTATCTGGTCCCTTTTATTTCATTTTTTGTATTCTTGACCCAAGATACTTAGTCACTTTGAAACCTTTTTTTTCCCTCTACTTCCTTGATTTTTTTTCTGAATTGCCTTTCTAAGTCTGTATTATACCCAACATTGCCTGTTTTCCAGCCTGGCAGGTGAGCCCATGGCTCTTCATTCCTCAGCCTTTCTGCTTTGCCTCATGCATGCAGTAGGTTTGCAGATCATTAATATCCTAACATTCTTAACATCTTAATATTCGAATGCCAAGCTGCATGTGGTCATTGAGGTACGCAGCAAGGCTTCCGGGGGAACTAGGTGGCATTTCCCAGTTGTGCAGAGCTCTAAGTGGTAGTAACCCTGCCCGCCATGAGCCAGGTGTGCAATGAAGGGACCATGAGCGGGGCAGCAGGAGAGCCCAGGACATTGAACAAGAACTGTTGATGTGTCTTGTTACTTCTTTTGCATACAGGAAGGCACAGTATTATTGGCTCATTCAGAGATCCTTGACGGCTTTCAGAGAATTTATATTCATATTAGAAATGGACTTTAAAGATCATTCGTATATGTGTATATACATGTGCGTGTGTGGGTGTGTGTGTAAATAATTGATTTGTACTTGCTATTATAAACCTGTCAAAGTGCAGAGCAAAATGTAGGGCTTTTGAAGGAATTTAAGTTGGGTGCCAATAAAAGTTTTTGTTACTGTTGTGAGACAGTAAAGGATGGTTGGGAGAATTGGAATACTCGGTGGAGAAGTATTCGGTGGGAGGGCGTTTATTTAAACATTCCACGTCTATATTAATACTTACTTCCAAGGAATCCTCCGTAATAGTCTATTTCAGTGTAAACCCTTTTGTTCTACCAAACGTGGTGCTAGTTGTCTGAGGAAAAACAATGCATATCAAAAATGATAACAGACTTTTGGTAGGTTCTACTAATTTAGGTTTGTTATTTAAGATGTTAGGTGTTTTTTGTTTGTAGTATTTAGATTAAGATGCTTTTCATCACTACATTAAATAATAGGGAAGGTCATCCTTTTTGTAATCAGTTCTCAGGTGTTTTAAAACTGTGTTGAGGTATTTTTTGCGTCAAGTTCCTTTAAAAGGACTTTTTAAATTTGTTATTCCTTGTTTTCAAAATTCTGGGGTAAGCTGCTTAAGGGCAGTGATGAAGACCACAATGTGTGTATGTTTGGGGGTGGGAGGGCAGGCATATTTGTGGGTCTCTTCAGTCTAGACAGGGCTTTCTAGGCAAACCAAGCACTGTCATTCCCTTACACACACATGCACGCTCTCTCTCTCTCCGGGATGGATGAATACACTTGGGTGAACAGCATTCCCAACCCTTCGCCCTCGTGCCTGGCCAGCTCCGCGTTTCCGGCTGCTTCAGATCTGAGACTGGGCAGCGGGCATTCTGCACTCGCCCCCAGGCTGCTGGCTGGATTGGGTGATGGAGCGGAACATCTGTGCAGAGGGTCATTTTCAAGTCCTGTGTCAGAGCCAGAGATACGATGCATCTACAGGAATTACAGGTAGTCTGTAGAGCATATAGACAGAGGTTTTCTGGAAACACTGAGTTTTTAGAGGAGTTTAAATGTTTGTTTTCTGGTTCTAGAATCCTACAGTGTTTATGTTCTAGGTGAATAAATTTTAAATATATGTGTGTTACAGCTGTGGTAGAATTGTTTAAATCATGGGTCGAGAACAGGCCTTTGGTGGGGTGGGAGAGGAGAGCTCGGGCCTTGAGGTGTGGGTGGGGAAGAGAATTAATACCCATGCATTTTTTAAATACTTTTGCAAAACTGGGGTATTTCTTTAGCTTTGGTGTTTCTCTGTTATGAGCTTGGAAAAATAAATTTTTTTTTTTTTAGGTTCTTAAGATGCTCTAGCGATAATTCATGTTTAGGCTCCTGGGAAATTTGTAGTTATTTTCACTGTGAAACTTCTTTCTCTGTGAGGCTCGTTTTCTGTTAATCTAGAAATGACTGAAATCCAGATGTGTAAGTGTACTTGTAGACCATTAAGTATATCCTCAAACTTTCTTACAACTTCACAGTAATTCACAGTGAAGTTTTAGTCTTGAGATTGGTCCAAGGGAGTGTAACGACTGCTGTTCAGTAGGTCTCTCGGTTTTCTGAAAAGACAAACTTGATTATAGGTTTTATTTATTTTATTTATTTTATTTTAGTTTTGGTTATTTATTACAAACACCTATATGTAGGGCTGCCATGAGAAGGTACACAAACTTGGTGACTTAAAACAGCAGACATTTAGTGTCGCGCGGTTCCGGAGGCTGCAGGTTTGAAATCACGGTAACTGCGCAGCAGGCCCCCCCTGCGGGCCGGGACGGGAGTCTCTTGCTGGCGGTCCCAGGCCTTCCTTGCCCTGTAGACCCATCACCCCACCCCGCCGTCCTCTCTGGTTGGGTACCGGGCACAGTGGATTAGGGGCCTGCCTCTTGCAGCATGACCCGTCGTAACCAGTTACGTCTGTCACGACCCTACTTGTAAGTGAGGGCCCGCTCTGAAGTACGGGAGTTAGGGCTTCATCTGTTCCAGGAGACACCATTGAACCCATAATTGCTAAGGCCTGTGAGGCTATCCAGGGAATGAACTCCAAGGCAAGTCTTTGTCTTATACACATAAACATTAGTTACTTGCCTTCCTACCATCTAGATGTGGGTAAACTGGAGCTAAGTTCAGGAGGAATCTAAATAGTTAAAATTAAGCACTGTTTGAAACAAAGGTGTGTAACCAAAATCCCCAGACAATGCCTTAAAACTTAAGGTTTTTTAAACAGATCCCAGGGTTTATGTCATGACTTGATTTCTTGTTGCCCCAAAGATTTGGATTTCCTGCATGGAAATTGCTCTTAAAGTTCTGTAGTACTTGTGTGTTAATTTACAGATGTTACGATAAATCTTTCTCTTGGTGTGAATTTTTTTCTAACCTAAAAGTGATTTGGAATTCAGTTTAGTGAATTCCTTAGCAACCCAACTGAGTAACGGTCCTATTGGTAAATAGGTAGCCATGGTTAAAATGACACGTATTTCTGTGTGGTTTAGAAATGGATTTTGAGGACAGTTCCGAAACAGATCAAGTGTTTTTAAATTTTACTCCCTAGATAACTACAACTATAGTTTTAAAGCAAACTGATTATGATTTTTAAAAATATATATTGTGCCGCACATCAGAGTGTGCTTGTCCATGAAACTTGTCTTCCTCAAACTAGTCTTTGTTCCTATAGCAGGGGTGTTGCTGAATGCAGTCAAAAACTAGTCATGGGTAGATGTTAGTTACTAAATTTAGATAGTTCATCATTTGGACTTATGTTGGTAATATGTGAATTCATGGGGAAGGCAAACTTTATTGGAATAAGTGTGGTTTTTTTTGTAAAGTTGCTTTACATGTACATTACGTTCCATTTTATTTCACACCAGTCTGTCCTCAATTTTCTCAGGAGTGTTTTGATGGAGAGAATAGATCTCTCAGGATCTATAATTGTAAATGGGTTTAAATATCACAACACTTGGTATTTATTTCCAAATGCATATGTCTTTGAAAATCTATAAATCCAGTTTTCAACATTTATAAATCATAAATTACAGTGGCCATGAATCTAAGGAATATGTAAGTGGGTAGTGCTTCTCTGTATTTGATCATACCAGGAAAATTTCAAGAAAGTTGTAAAACGTTTCTGCCCTTGGAAAATATCCTGTGTTGTCTAAAGGATGATAACTTGGTGTTTATTTTTCCAGACATGTCTTTTACGATAACTAATTTCTGTACAAGGCCCTACAAGTTGTATAGCATATGTCTTGCCTGCTATCGGCCAATGCTGGCCTCTACCTGTTGTAAACGTGTAAACGTGCATCTTCATGCACACACGCTCCATTCTGTCTCTACGCATACTGAAAGGGCAGTCCTCCTCAGGGAGTGTCTTCTCCAGAAACTTCTCCCCAGCTGCACACGACTTCTTTCTTAGCTCCCAGCAGTAGCCAGGTTTGGAAGAGCCTGCTCTGGTTGAATTCTTGGGGACACTCACGCCTGCGAACATTCAGTTCCTTAGGATCGTGTGGTTAGTCGTAGAGGATGGCCGGCCTGCCCCCTGCACCGCTCAGGAGAGTCTTCTCTTGCACACCACAGGCCTTGTACACAGCACGGCCCTCTTCGGTGTGCAAGGCTGAATCTTGGGAAATTGTCCGTTTTAACCCACAGAAGCTCTGTTTTCATACGACTCAACTGAATAGCGTGACATAAGTGTTACGAGCTAAGCTCTGGAATCAGACTTCCGTATTGACCTGACCCTTTCACTTTCTGGGGACCTTGGCACGTGACTGGAATGTCCTCACGCCGCCTCTTCCGTATCTACAGAGAAACCAGAACCTGCTCCTCCCACACCGTAGGCTGCTTTTGAGAGTGAGAAGGACGTAACCTGTGGGAAGACCGGAAGGCTCTCCAGAAATGTCAGCTCCCTCTGTTGTGACGAGCATGGTTGTTTGTGTTTGCTGTTATTTTTGTTATTGACATAGACAGTCTGACCAAGCATGGAGTAAAAAGGCCTTGTGCAACAAGAAATGCACTGGGCTGTTCTACGCCAGCATCACCAGATCAGCGGGATGGGTGTAAAAATGCTTTGAGTATTTTGTATGATTCAAGATGCCCGGAGACCTCCGTGGCGCAGGTCCCTGGGCACAAGAGGAAGTTATCTGAGAGTGTGAATTCAGACCAGCGCTTTCAGTAGCCAGTCTACCTTCAGACGGCAGTGGGAAAGGCGACATCTTTCACCCTGACACCTGTCGCATTCGCCCTGGGTGGAAAACTGCTGTTTTTACTGACGGTCGCTTTAGTGCTTGGTTCATGTATGTGAACTACTCTTCCTCCGTTACTAGTAATGCCTTCTCTTTTCTGCAAGTTGGAAATTTACTCATTTTTAAGATAATTTTCGAAGGAGTGATGTGCACTTAAGAGGAAATGCAGAAGTTGTTTATAAATGGAATAGGTAAAGATATTTCCATTTGGGGCGGAGACAAAGAATGGCATAAACACATCATTGTGGACATTTTCTCCTTCAGAAGTTGACCATGCTATGAACTGGGGGTGAACTGTTAGGTCCTGGAGTTACTCTCCCCCTCATGCACTTGCACACATAGACACAGATTTGTGTATGTTCACATGACATTTTGCTATTTAAAATAGCTTATTAATGTTTTATTTCACCAAAGAGACCTCTTCTCTTTCCCTTTTTTTTTTTTTTTTTTTCCTAGAAGGCCAGTAATGATGCTAGTCAGAGTGATACGAGTGTCTCCTCGTCAGAACCAAAGAGCAAAAGCGGTCTCCACTTGCTGGCCCACGAAACAAAAATTGGATCTTTCTTAAGTAACAAAAGTCTAGATGTCAAAGACAAAGCTGGTCTTTGTCCAGGTGAAGATGATATGGAAGGGGATTCTTTCTTTGATGATCCCATTCCTAAACCAGAAAAAACTTATGGTTGGTGAGTAAACTCTTTTTGGATTATCAAACTAGGGGCTTAAAAATACAATTTCTAAATATTTTATATTTAAAAAATGAGCTACTAAAGCTTCTGTAATTATTGAATATGTAAGTCTGATTTTCTGTCCTTAAAGCCTTTTATGTTGTAAAATAATTCCAGCTGGTAAAAAGTGTAGATATTCATAATTTCTGTAGGGAAGTGTAGACTGAGTGCCTGTCACGTGCCAGGTGCTGTTTCAGGCACAAGCTGTGCGGTCAGAACACAGGCAGAGCCCCAGCCTTCAGAAGCTTACAGTCCTGTGGACAGAGGCAACTAGAAGTTAGAATCCCCACATGCTGTGTTGGGTGGATGCAGCCAGAGTGACGGGTCGGAGCAGGGGCGGGGGCGGTGAGTGTGTGGAGGTGCGTGCTGTTCCGTTATAGCGTTGGGTCAGGGAGGGCCTCCCTTCGAGGGGCTGGTTGAGGAAAGGGCCCAAGTTCGTGAGAGAGTCAGCCCGGCGGACACCGGATCCCGGAGCTCCAAGCAGCGCAGGCAGAGGTGAGCGACCGGTCAGAGAATGGCTAGGGGTGGTTGTGGAGACGGACTGGGTTGGGGCAGCGCTGACTCCAGCAGGAGGGGGCTTTACCCTGAGGGGCACTGGGGGCCGCAGGGTCTGAGCAGCAGAGTGACTAGCTCACTGGGCTGCTGGGTCTCCAGCTGGGAAGCTGTCAGGATTCTCCAGGTGAAAAGATGGCAAAAGTGGTGAGAAATAGGTGGTTCGGGGATGTCTTTTGAGGTTAGCTCCAAAAGGATTTGTCGCTAAGTGTTAGAGAATAAAGTGACCTCAAGGGAAGTTCAGGGTTTTCAGCTGAGTAACCAGAAGGTGGAAAACACCACGGACAGGTGAAGCATGGAGAGCAAGGTTGGGCTGCACAGGTGGGCCAGGTGACAGTCTGGAACTCACTTCTGATGGGTCGGGTGTGGGAAGGTTGCTAACGCACAGGTGAAGCCGGCTGCGGGGAAGGGGTCTGGGCATGAGGGGAGAGGTGTCCGTGTTTGACCCTGCTGCCAGTGGAGCCTGGAGGTGGTCACCTGGGAAGTGAGTGGCACCTGGAGGTGAGCGAGGGGAGGAGGGAGGAGGAGGAGGGAGAGAGGGAAGGGGACCCAGGAGAGAGGTGTTCTGGAAGGAGGGGGCCGGAGTGAGTCCTTGAGCTAAGCTCTGAAAGGCAGCCACGGTGCACAGCCGCTTGGAGGCAGGGATGATGGGATTCTGGGCTGGGGGGCGGGGTAGGGACAGGGTATCAAAGGATTAGAGTAGGTTTAGGAAAGGGTGGGGGGATTGTAGGTGGGGAGTGCGTTCCTGGTGAGTCGTGTCGTTCAGGGGTGTGGAGGAGCGGGGTGGGGGAAAACGGCGGGACATGACCGTGGGCATGTCTGTTGAGAACAGTCCTGCATTAGAGAGGAGATGGAGTGGTGTGCAGGGGGTGCTGGGCGCTTGGGGGCGCAGGGCACCCCCTTGAGGAGGCTGTCTGCTGGAAGGAGGGAGGTGTGGGCGCACTTGTGGGCAGGTGGGGTCGGTGTGCAGGCAGCAGCCTGGGAAGGTTCCCACCTGAGTGGGGGGTGCACGGCAGGGTTGGAGAGGAGGCCTCAGAGAGGTAGGAAGTGGCGGCGGGAGGGGGTGCGCAGGGGGGCAGAGCTCAGGGCTGTTGGGGAGGTCGGCTGGCGGGGCTGTGCGGGACACCTGTGCTGTCCCCTGCCGGCATTGCTGGGCACTGGAAGGGGCTTCTGATAAAAGTCACGGACACTGAAGATGACAAACAGCGGTACCATTTGAGAGCTGAGCGGATTTCTCGCTGATAACGTGCCCTGTGGATTTGTGATGACGCTCAGCCTGCCTCGCCTTGTAGGTATACTTGATGGTTTTGAGTCCACGAAACGCATAACCTGTCTTTCCCAGCACTGCGTGCACGTACGGCGTATTCACGTTGTTTATGTCTTAGTGGCAGAACGTAAGCGTGACCTTTAACTCTACACTTGTTTCTTGTTAGGAGAAGTGAACCTAGTAAGCAAGCAGGAAGCCTTGCATCACTCTCTGACGCGCCCCCCTTGAAAAGTGGACTCAGCTCCCTTACCGGAGCCCCCTCATTGAAAGGCTCTGAAAGTGAGTGCCTGGAAGCCCCCGGGTCTCCTTACTGAAGACACGGACTTGGAGGACTCAGGATGTGTTTTCTCTTAAATGCTCTGTGGTCATTGTTTATTGTTTAGGAAAAGCCCATGATTTTACCAGTGGTAGTTCCTGTTCTTTGCTCTTTAATAAGGTTGTGTTCGCCTCATCATTTGTCTTCTGTTTTTCCTGTGCCATCAAAATACTTTTTTTTTAGGAAAGTGACTTTTTAGCTGCCTTATATAGTAAACATCTTTAAGTCATTTCTCTCTTGTTGGACATTGAGATTGATTTGATTAGGATTTAAACTTGTTTTCTAGATTCTGTGATACCACAGTAATCATCATATGAATGTTAAAATATTCGTCCTTTAGCTATTGGATCTGTCATAATTGTTTTTTTTCTACTTTGGATATTGGCATCACTTTTTTCTTTTTCTTTTTTTATTTTATTATGTTATGTTAGTCACCATACATTACATCATTAGTTTTTGCTGTGGTGATCCACGATCCGTTGTTTGCGTATAACACCCAGTGCTCCACGCAGTACGTGCTCCCCGCAAATGCGGCGGTGGGGGAGGGGGGAGGCACACACAACTTTAAAAATGGCCCTCTCCAGTTACTGTTCTGATTCAGATGACATCGCTTCCTGCAGGGATTGGATGTTACAGAAAACAGAAATGACACATCACTTTTTTTTTTTTTTAACATATAATGTTTGTTTCAGAGGTACAGGTATGTTTGATTTTTTAAAATATTTTTTCATCATGATAAGTGTATGTTTTAATCCCCATCACCTGTTTCTTAAATTCCACATTCCAGTGAAGTCATACGGTATTTGTCTTTCTTTGACTGACTTCACTCAGTATTATACTCTGTAGCTCTATTTACGTTGTGCAAATGGCGAGGTTTCATTCTTTGGGGTATGACTCTAACATGTTGACGTGTAGCAGAGAGGTGGGGTGTCAGGCAGACATGGAATGGCCATACGACTACAGTTTACTTCCTACCCCCTCCCCACACACAGATGGCACCAAAACCAAGGATTCGAAAGCACAGCCTTAAACATGGAGATATGTGCGTGAACTTCATTTACTAGATCATAGTAAATGTAGATTTCATCGACACCGTGTTCACAGCATAAATGTGAGATCTATTGAGAACATTTCCTAAAAAGCAGATCTTTATTAGGAAATTGCGGTGTGAATTTGCATAGTTTTGCAGTATTTATTAACCTTTTTACATCACATGTTGGGGCAGTAGGATTTGCCGGGACAGGCGAAGGAGGTGATGTGTGGCTGCTTTTAGCCGTCTGGCAAATTTGCCACATGTTTGCTAACACGTCCCATCAGTTTCCCTCTTGTTGTCCTTTCTCCTGGTCTTTGTCACCTGCAGTAGGAGTCTAGCATGTCATGATCACATCACTCTTAACACTGATCAGGGAAGAATGATGTGGACAGGACATTGAGCACTTGGGACTGAAGAAATAAAACCAGTGAGGTCAGTTGCGTAAATGGAATAGCAGTTGAATTAAAGCAACGTTGAGAAGTTCAGAGGAAAGTAAAATCGATGAGAGTAATTAACTCGTACCCGGTGAGGCTTGTTATAGATGGTGACGCCGGATATAGTTGGGCCAGAAAGTATTTTGATGGTCGGGTTCCAATAAAGACTACGTGTTTACGTGTGGTTACATGTGGTGACCAAGGGCATGCAGTGCATGACGTCAGTGTCATCAGAGCTTGTAATTCTTTCTTGGTGTTTGGTTTGGACGTTTTAGTCATAAACCCTATGCTGAACCAAAGTGGCACAGTTTAGAGATTGTTGTATTCTCAAAGTCAATTTATGTGAATATTTTTTCTTCACAGGTAAAAGAGGAAACACAGTTTTGAAAGATCTGAAACTGGTCAATGATAAAATTGGATCACTTGGATTAGGTAACTAGATTTCTAATTTTAGCATTGATTGCCCGAAGGTGATTATTTTTTAGAATAAAATCTAAATTGAAGTGGCTTAGCCTACAGTGAGCACTTCGTAATTAGATGTTTGGATGGTCTTTGTGAATCCAGGGTTACTCCATATGCCGGGGGTGGATAAAGCAGCAACCACAACAGACTTTCTTTGTGGCGCTCAGATTCTTGTAGGGAAGATCTGCATCAAACAGGTCCCTACAGATACTTGGGGTTGAGAGTCCATATGCGCTGGTGTGAAAATGGATAGTAAGGTGACTTACCCTAGCCTAGGCATTCCGGAAAGGCCTCACCTAGGAAGTGACTCCTCCGCCAAGACCTGATGGGTCAGGGCCAAGGGGAGAGGTTTCAGCTCAGACTGACGACAGTTTGTGCAAAGGCAGTCACTTTTTTTTTAGGTTTTATTTGAGAGAGTGCGTGAGTGGTGGGAGGGGTAGAGGGGGAGGGAAAGACTCTCAAGCCGACTCCACTGAGTGCGGAGCCAGATATGGGGCTCCATCCCGTGACCCTGAGATCATGACCTGAGCCGAAACTGAGTCAGTCGCTCAACTGACGACACCACCCAGGCGTGCCCCCCGCCCCCCAGCGCGCTTCTTCCTGCAGGGATTGGATGTTACAGAAAACAGAAATGACACATCACTTCCTTGTTCTCCTCCACTCCTGCCCCTCCCCCTTTGCACTTTGGTTAAAGTCCTGAGCATGACGTTCTAGGCCTTCGGTGGCCCCTGCCAGCCCTTCTATTCTTCCCTCCTCTTGTCTCCCCCCTCCACCCTCCAGACTCATTATTTTGAGGGTGTATTGGTTTCCTCACTGTTTTCCAAACCACTGCACCCTTCCTGAGTCTGGGCCTTTGCATGTGTTTCTTCTTGGAACCCATGTTCCCCAATAATTTATGTCTGGTACCTTCTTTAGGTTTCCCCTCAGAGAGTTCTCTCCAGGCCCTCTAACAGCATCTGGTTTGTCTGGCTGTCGGCTGCCTCTTTCCTTCCACTGGTGCTCCTTGAGGCTAGAAACACCACTTGCTCTGGTACTTCAGGGGTCCTAGGAGTCGCACACATATCTGACAAATGGACAAAGTAATCATGGGCTTTATCGGAAGAGGATCCTCTTGTCTGACTAGTCTAGAACTTGAATGCCCTCCGGGATGCGTCTGTGTAGACATGGTCTGGTCTGACACTGGGAAGGACTCAGGAGCACCCAGTGTTCTCCGAGCCCCGCCGGCCCCTGAGCCGGGCCTCCTCCTCCTGGTCTGCACTCTTCCTCTGGCAGCCGCACACATGCCCGTGTGTCCTCCACGTGCCGGCCATCCCTGGGAGATGGCTCTCGGGGGGGCTTTCCCTGTCCCTCAGGTGATGCGGAGGGGGAGGGGGATTTGGAAGTCTCATAGGTGCTCGTGCTGCGTGGTCAGACGCTGCTGACGCTGCTCCATTCGTCTGCAGCCCTAGCCTCACCCCGTCGCTGTCTGTGGAGAGCAGACTGTGTCCCAGGCTTGGGTCCAGCACTTCGCATGCCGGGATCCTGATGTGAGCCCTGTGTTTGGTGTGGGTTTGGCCGTCTTCACAGCTGAGGAAACGGCCGAGGAAGGTTGCCTAGTTCTCCCAGGGGCTGACAGCTCTTCACAGGTGGAGCTGGGATGTGAAGCCCGTTGCGTCTCACTGAGATGCTCCTGTTTGCTTTGCTCTGTGCCTCTTCACACTTCGTGATCCTTTAAAATTTTATACACTATGCGGAGCTGAACGTATCAGTAACAGGGACGGACGCCTGGGTGGCTCAGTCGGTTCGGCGTCTGCCTTTGGCTCAGGTCGTGATCCCAGGTCCCAGGATCGAGTCCCGCATCGGGCTCCCTGCTCGGCGGGGAGCCAGCCTGCTTCTCCCTCTGCCAGCTGCTCGTGCTCTATCCCTTGATATTTCTCGCTCGCTCTCTCGCTCTCTGACAAATAAAAAAACCTTTAAAAAAAAAATCTCAAAAGTGTCAGTTAACAGTTATGATAACTTGCTCTTATCATGAATATAATATTTAATATCAAATGACTATAAATGGTAAACATACAATGCAATTAAGCTTTTAGAGACTTGGAATAAAAGACTGGGTATTAACTACATTTTATGACATTTTATTGGTTCCTAGGCAGTTTATTTGCTTTCATATCACATATGTTAAAAATACTATTTCTGATCCTGGCGACTTCTTTTTTACTGCTGCCATATAATTCATTAATGTAGTTTTTCCTGAAGGAAATGTATGTGTGTGATCACAGATAAATTGTGGAGCATGTTGGTATAAACATAACATATCTTTTCTTGAACTTACCAGGGACTGGAGAAGAAGATGACTACATTGATGATTTTAATAGGTGAGAAACATAGTTGGGCAACAAATACAGTGTAAACAGTTTCCGACACAGGAAGTAGGAAAGAATTCCATTTGTGCTCATTTTAGTGTATTAGACTCTCCTGTTGGTACTGATTGCAGATGGAGAGAAGACAGTTAATCCAGGATTATACACTGGACTTTGAAGCCTGTTTCGGTTTGGCATTAGAATGTGTTGAACAGATGCGTTATGTCCAGGAAACTTGGCAAGAATGGGTCAAGCAGAGGCCTCGAGGAAGGGATGCAGAGTCGCTCAGAGATGTCAGGTCGCTGGGATCCATGTGCTCCCCGCAAATGCGGCGGTGGGGGAGGGGGGAGGCACACACAACTTTAAAAATGGCCCTCTCCAGTTACTGTTCTGATTCAGATGACATCGCTTAATACTTTGTTTCAGACCACTTTTTTTACATACATAAGGACAATATAATCCTATGAGTTGCCTAATAGTTTGGAAATAATATTTGTTACGGATACGATTACAAATTTTAAATTAGAGCCTGAGAATTTTATACAATTGACAGGGTTTTTTTCTCCCCCCAATTGGGAATTTATTTTTTACAGAATAATTTATTGGGTGCCTGGGTGGCTCAGTTGGTTAAAGCGACTGCCTTCAGCTCAGGTCATGATCCTGGAGTCCCGGGATCGAGTCCCTCATCGGGCTCCCTGCTCAGCAGGGAGTCTGCTTCTCCCTCTGACCCTCTTCCCTCTCGTGCTTTCTCTCTCTGTCTCATTCTTTCTCTCTCAAATAAAATCTTAAAAAAAAACCCAATAATTTATTAAACAGTTTTTTTTGAGAAGTGGCATGATGTAGTAGATGAAATAGTAAAAATCTGGGTTTGCGTCTTCCTTGACCTTGTGTCCATGGTCACCTTTATAGATCCTCGTTTTCTAGTCTCTTGAAGTGACTCGCCTGTTTGTGGCTCACTAAGTCACTTTAAGGATCAAGTGAGATAATATGCATGAAATTCATGAGATTTAATATTTTATTATATTTTATTTAAATGTTTATATTCAACGTTCTTTTTTCCTTTCTTTCTCAAACTAGTACCAGCCATCGCTCAGAGAAAAGTGAGCTGAGTATTGGTGAAGAGATCGAAGAAGATCTTTCTGTGGACATTGATGACCTCAATACCAGTGATAAAGTACGGTGTGGGCGTTGCCCGAGGAGTGCTGCTCGTGCCTGAGTCTCTTGCGGTGGTGGACTGTAGAGCTTTAACAAAATCCTGGCCCCGGTTCTGGAGTCAGAACTGGCCCACCCAGTGGTGTTAGTCGGCAGAAGCAAGTCATCCCGTTCGGAGAAGTCAGGCTAGAAATCAGCGCAGGTATAAGAGAGGCCGTGAAGCTGCGTCTCAGCGGGCAGGTCCCTCAGCCCGTGGGGGCGGTACAGCAGAAGTGGACGCAGGCTGTGCAGTGAGGGGTCCGGCCCCGAGGTCCACATATGGCCTTTTTATGAGGCAGACAGCGGCGTGTACTTCCATGTGTGTCAGGAGAGGTCAGGGAGCCTCTCTGGATCTCCTGTGGTGCCCACGGAAAGCTGTAGCCCGTCTCGGGTTGTAGGTCGTTACAGCCTGGAGGCAAACGTTGCTTTCCAGAATGAGGAGGGAGTCAGTGTTCGTGACCATCAAGGGATTAGCAGACGGGAAGGCCTTTGAGAGAGGTTATAATGAAATGTTACAGTGTTTCAGGGGAGGGGGGGGATGGGTTAGCCTGGTGATGGGTATTAAAGAGGGCACATTCTGCGTGGAGCACTGGGTGTTACGCACAAACAATGAATCATGGAACACTACATCAAAAACTAATGATGTAATGTATGGTGATTAACATAACAATAAAAAAAATTTAAAAAAATGTTACAATGTTTCATTGTAATGTTATAATGAAATGAGATGTTAATAATGAAAACAGGTCTGAGCCAGCAATGTCTGGGCACATGTTCTTTCATGGACTGTGGTTCTTAGGCAAACTTTAACCTTCAGTCCTTGGCTGGTTTGTTCATGGAATGCAAGTGGGAATGCCTGCCTCCCAGAATTGTTGGCAGGGTTGAGTGAGAACTCCCGACATGTGGTCAGCTTCCACCGTCTGCCCCTTACCTGGCACCTCATGCTGGCCTCGGAGGCCACTGCGTGCTGCATTTAAGTTAGCAGAGGGGCTCCAGACGGGTTATTTTAGCAGGTTTTTGTGTTGTTGTTAATGTAGAGTTTTGCTATTAGCTCAGTCTTTTGGTAATTCTCACAGATTTCAAAATAGGAAGAGGGTGAGGTAGAGGACTTTGGAATCTGAAGCAGTTTGTAGAGTATAAGGTATTTAAATTATAGCAATGTATTTTAAGGATTGTTTATGACTCTGCATTCTGATACTGGTTCTTTTTTTTTTCTTTTGGACAACCAAGCTTGATGACCTGACACAGGACCTGACTGTGTCCCAGCTCAGTGATGTTGCGGATTATCTGGAAGATGTTGCATAGACGTGAAAGAAGGAAGTATTCTAATCAACAAAGGACAAAGGACTCTGATCAGTTCCATTTTTTTTTTTCCCCCAATCACTCTTTGCTGGAATGTCTGCTCCCTGTTGGTGCCTTGTGTTTCAAAAAGACTGCAGATATTTTTAAAAATTTAAGTTTTCATTATACTAAACAAAAGCTTCCTACTTGAGCCCATGTGTGGAAGATACCGTATTCTTAATTTGGTTTGGCTACACATTTCTTTGTGGAAGTTGATTATCTACAACTCAAATTCATTACAAGGAGTGAACCCATGAAAATACGCGTATTAAGAGCTTACTGAAAGGTGTCAATAAAGCTGTAGGTTCACACAACTCTGTGTGTGTGTGTGGCTTTAGCCATCCAGAATCCAAGTGTATTTGACATTAGGCGGTTGTGCAGAGAGTTGGCAAAGTGGCCTGAAGCTTATTACCGAAAGATTTGATACGTCAGCTTTATTTTGTATTTCCTTCCATGTGGAAGGGTTGTTAGGCCAGTAAGCTTTTATTAAATACTCCTGTGTGTGCTAGTCTTGCTTGTTTTGAGGAAATCTAGAGGTCCTTTTGACTTCTAATCCACGAATTGTCGCTGACAGCAGTCGTGGTTGCCTCCCCTGTCCTTAGAAGAAGCTGTTGGTCACAGGCTGTCATCTTTATTGTTGTAATTTATTGTGTGTAAAGATGCCTGGAAACATACTTGATACAAGAATGCATCTGAAACCACCAAGCAGTGCTTTTATTTCCAATCTGTAAATTGATTGTGTTAAAATCCAAATTGGACTGTCACAGTAGTAGTGGCCTCAGACCACATGCGGAGTGCTGGGCTTTGTGCACGGTCCGTATTTCCTTGCGTCCCGTCTGGATGGAGCCGGTGCTGGCCCTCGGGCAGCCTCGCTCCCTCTGCCCGCGCCGTGCCGCTGTCCCGGGGGCGTCGCTGGCCTGCACTGCTGGGGGTGCCGCGTGTGTGTTCCCAGGACTGTAAGTGAAGCTGTGAGCGTGTGCTACATTTTGTACTTTTTTATTTGAATTAAATTATGTTTTTTTATTAAAAGTCACCTTTATTAATAAAGAGTAAGCTAGACCTACTTGACTGATTTCAGTTAAGTGAGCAGACTTCGTCACTCCCGTAGTGCCAGTTTTTCATACCTGCCTCAGTGTTAACAGAAGTCTTTGCCGGGCCCTTGTATGTGAAGGGCAGCCGTAACAAAAGGGTTGCGATTATATAACATGACAGTGTGATTGTGTAACATCTGTGAACCTGAGCCACGAACACCCAGAGGAAGTCAGACAGAAAGTGGGCCAGTGCGACCTGGGAGCTGCTCTGTGGGCCTGCCCTCGCTTTGTGGGCTCTGACCTCAGTCCTGGTGGCGTGCCGTGTCCTGTGTGAGTACACAGCGCCGTGTGGAGATGTAATCTGTTGCTAAAAGTCCCCCAATGTGCTTGTAAAATGCATTTCCCTAGATGTCCTTTCTGTAAACAGTCGCTTTCTATAAAGCGTTGCGTTCTGCTCTGGGCCTCTGGAATCTGTGTCAACTGTGTGACTTATTTTTTATATTATCTGAAAGGAGCTAGATTTCAGTGAAATGATTGGAAAGGAGAGCAGGAGGTGGCTTTTTAAATTTATGGAAAACTTTGAACAGCAGCATCTGAAATTTGTCATTTTTGTGTTACCCAGAGAATCTGACCTTTTGAGGACATCTGGGAGGCTGGGCAGGAAGGGCCAAACATGGAGCCTCCTCCACCATCGGCCATATACCTAGTGATGAGAAGTTCCATTTCCACATGTGTATCTCAGATAGGTTTTGAGTGTGTGACTAGTATTTTCTTTTTGTTCGGAAATACATTTTGACATACTCGTCCACGAAACACATTTTCATGGTAAAACCTGAATTTTACAGTGGAATTTTTCAAGTGTGAGGTGTCATTTTATTGATGATAACTCAAAGTGAATAAAAAGCTTTTACTCTCTCCTGTTTGTGTCCCTGCCCCCATTGTATCTTGTGTGTGATGGTAACACCGTAGTCCGGTGTGGGCCTGCCCACACGGTCACTGTCCCTGTCTCACGCCAGCTCCCTGGGCCCGCACAGAACCAGCATGTGCCACACGCTACCAAGGTGGGACCCGTCTTGGAATGTTTGCCTCTGTCCCTCCTTGTCCGTGGAGCCCTTCTCCAAGAACCGCCAGACTGGCTTGTTTCCCTCTTGTTCTCGGAGGTGCTCCAGCCTGAGGGGATGCCTGTTTTCCTTCCCACTGTGTCTGTCACGTTCACCCCGTGTTTTTACTCCTCTCTCGTCACTGACACGGGCCTGTTTACTGTCATAAGCTCCATTAGAGCAGGGACTGTAGCCACCTAGGTATGTCCTTGGCACCTGGAATAGCATCTGGCCCCAGTGCGCACCCGGGAAGGATCTGTGGGCGCACAGACCGGCTCTGCATGTGCTGGCAAGGGTGTCCGAGAAAGGTTTCTGTCTGGGCAGCTGCCTTCTCAGGACGACGTTCCACAGTTGAGATCAGCCATCCTGACTGAGCTTGGAGAGGCCTCCAAGCTTCCAGTCTGACAGGTGGGTTCATGGTTCAGCTAAGGCCATTGGATGGAACCAAAGCTAATGAACGTTCTCCGAAAGGCAGCAGGCAGCGGTCCTGTCCGTGGCTCTGCGTGGCTGTCGGCCCAGGGAGCAGCAGAGGGGGCTCATGGTAGCTGGACTGCCAGCCCCACCGGACACCCATGATGGTGGCGAGGAGACGTGGCTTCTGCAGAAAGCACCGCCCCGCGAGTCCGATGCAAGTCCTGTTCGTGTGGTCTGCCCGGCCCTCCTGACGCGGGCAGGTGGCCAGCCTCTGTGCGAGGAAGGGGCCCTTCGGGAAAGCCACGCAGAGACGACCAGGCAGCTCCCCGTGTGACTCACCCGCTCCGCTTCCCCACGGAAGAGCGTGAACAGCGTGCTGCCGAAGGCCGAGACGCACACGCGCAGCAGCCTCTGTTGGGGGAACCCGTTCAGAGCACAGAATGATCAGACAAAAACCCACTATCCTGCTGGAGAATTGAGAGAACTTTTGTACCTAAGAGAGGCCACTTTGAAAAGCTGACTGATGAGAAAATGGGCTGGGTCCTCCGGTAGAAGGGCTGGGTTGCAGGGCGCCCCGCACCTGCACTGATGCCTCCGGGACGGGGCTCGGCGTGCCGGGGCCCGAGAGCAGAGAAGGTGTGTGTGATGTGGGGGCAGTGGGGGCGGCGGGGCTGGGGGCTGCAGCGGCAGGGACGGGAGCCCCGCGGGCCCGGAGCAGGCTGCACACGCCCTCACGTGCAGCTTCTTGCCTGCGGAGCTGGTGCGTCCTGGTGAAATTGGGTGATTCTTAGTGTACAAAATGACTTCCAAGATTCCTCGACAGGGTTGAGCATGAGGTTGCCCGCACCGGATGCTGCACGTGATGCCAGGACTACAGGGTTAGCAGGGGAAGTGGTTTTTGAACACAGGATTTCTATCCTGATGGAAGAGGAACCCTCCTGCCAACCAGGAATGAATCCCAAAGCAAGGTCAGGCGCCTGGCATCTCCTGCATCATCGGGGTGTGCTGCATTGCTGTGGTTCACGGCTGCCGCTTGGAGCCTGGCCATGCCCCGGCCATGGCTCTCCCTGTGCAGACCACCTGGCACAGTGCCCCTCACACCCCAGTGCCTCCCAGGAATCAGAAAACCATGCGGGGAGGGCGGGAAGAGCCGTGTCCAGGGGATTCCACGGGGCAGCACAGATCGGGAGCAAGAAGCAGGCAGAGCAACAAGGTGAAGGGGTCCACACGAGGGCTGGTACCATGGTTACTTCTGATATTCTAACTTGAGGTGTTTTTAGCAACTTATGCAATCTTCAGATTTGGCAAAATCATTTTCCCCACTAATGTGCAATTTTCAGACATTGGTAGTTGCAATAAAAGCCTATTTGGCCTTATAAGTTGCCAGGTATTGGCTATCAATTTTCTTCATACTTATTTTCTTTTGAATCCTTGAAGTTTGTGAAACTGAATGGTAGCTCTTTTGAAATGAAGATTTTTGGTGAATAAGCCCCCTTCCCCTTTAGAGTATTCAGCATTTCTCTTGCTGCTCTCTCAATCCATGTGGGATGTGGTTTTGGATCTTCTCTGACTTCTATTTTAAATTTTGATACAGGGGCGCCTGGGTGGCTCAGTCGTTAAGCGTCTGCCTTCGGCTCAGGTCATGATCCCAGGGTCCTGGGATCGAGCCCCGCATCGGGCTCCCTGCTCGGCAGGAAGCCTGCTTCTCCCTCTCCTGCTCCCCCTGCTTGTGTTCCCTCTCTCGCTGTGTCTCTCTCTGTCAAATAAATAAATAAAATCTTAAAAAAAAATAAAAATAAAAAAATAAAAAAAATAAATTTTGATACAGAGAATGATACTCTGTGCCAGCACACCAAATCTCGAACCTCGATGCCACGCGTTTCTTCAGACCCTCATACACACGGTTGCCCCTGCTTTGGATGCACCACCTTTGCCCACCTCTCCATCTCACACACACCTGGGCAATACCTGTGGGGTCTTCCAGGGCCCACGGTGGAGAAAGCACATGTTCTCTCTTCCTTCGGTGCGCCAGGCACTTGTCACCTGTTTGCTTTTACTCCCTGAACACCCTGTCGTGGGGGAAATCTCACCAACAGCTGTTTTCCAGAGGTGGAGGGTGCTGGGCGCGCACCTGCACCACAGGACGCCCTGGCGTGGCCCGCAGTGATGGGGACCTGGGGAATATCCGTGCACCTGTGCACTGAGGGCTGGAGTAGAGAGAGTGGAGTGCTGCCTGCTGGGCTGCTTGGAAACCCGCCAGACAGAAGAAGCAACTTGGACCGTCCAGGAGGAGTAGACGAGCGTCCTACAGAACTAGCAGCACCATGATGTTTGACGTGCTCTTTGAACTCAGCACCCGGAAACACTGGTGGCGGGTGGGGTTTGCCCAGGACCGCAGAATCACATGGAATGAGCAGAGAGCGCTTGTGAGAAGCAAGGGTGTCACCCAGCAGGGAAGTGCCGTGTGGGGGGCGCAGCCGTGGGGGGCGGGACGGTTGAGCGGGCCACTGGAAGCCAGGAGTCTCCGCGGGCTCCTCTGCGGGGGTAAATACTGCACACCGCTCGGGCTCCTGCTGCATTGAGGAGCTCGTGCTTGTAGGGCAGGTACCACTGTCGTGGGCAAATACGAGCTCAGTCAGTAGTAACCATTTTCACTCAGGCCAGCATCCTAGGCCTTAGCGGTACTTGGATGTGGAGGAAAGGAGAAGAGAGAGGGCCTTGGGGGGTCCCTCAGCTTCTGAGGAATTGCCGTTCCTCTTCCGAGGCCTGATGCCCACGTCGCTTCCCCTCGCCAGGTCCGCCCCCAGAGTGATGCGCTGGTGAGCCCACTTCCTCCTGTCCCTGCC